AATAGGAAATCAACACAAACACATAGACACACACACACACACACACACACACACACACACAGAGAGAGAGAGAGAGAGAGAGAGAGAGAGAGAGACCATCACAATCACCATCACAAATAACAGCAAAAAAATAACAGGAATCAATAATCTTTGGTCAATGATATCTCTCAAAATTGATTTCTCAATTCTACACACACTAACATAATGGATATGAAAACAGGATCCATCCTTCTGCTGAATCAAAGGAAAAAAAATCAATGTCAAGGATGGACATCACTTCAGGGTGAAGATTAAAAACATCATATTTCAAACAAATGGTCTTAAGAATCAAGCAGGGGCAGCCATTTTAGTACCTAGCAAAGTAGACTTCAAATCAAAACTAATAAAAGGAGAAGGGAAGGACACTACATATTCATCAAAGGAAAAATCCACTGAGATTGCATTTCAGTTCCTAACATCTATGCTCCAAGCACAAGGGAACCCAAGTGTGTAAAATAAGTATTATTACAGCTTAAATCATATATTGATCCTCATACACTGATAATGGAAGACTTCAATACCCCACTCTCAACATTGGGCAGGTCATCTAGACAAAAACTAAACAGAGAAATACTGGAGCTAACAGGCTCTAACAAAATAGACATAATATATATTTACAGAATACTTCATCAAAACAGAATATAATATACCTTCTTTTCTGTACCTCATGGCACTTTCTCCAAAACTGACCAAATTCTCAGAATCAAAACAAGTCTAAATATACAAGAAAATTGACATTACTCCTTGCACCCTATCAAACCACCACTGATTAAATCTGGATATCAGAAAAAAAAAAAAAGAAGAAGAAACCTGCCAACTCATGGGACAACTAACTATATACTGGATGAAAAACAGGTTAAAATAGAAATATAGAAAGACATTAAATCTTTCTAGAATTCAATGAAAATGGATACACAACATATCCAAACTTATGAGACACAATAAAAATGACGCTCAGAGGAAAATTCACAGCACTAAGTATCTACATAAAAAATGGAGAGATCTAATACTAGCAACTTAAGAGCACTCCTGAAAGCTCTACATAAATGGAAGTGTTCACACCCAAGAAGAGTAGATGGTAATAAACAACCAAACTAAAGATTGAAATCAATAAAAATAGAAGCAAAGACAATAGCACATACAAATGATGAAACAAAGTGTTGGTTCTTTAAGAAAATCAACAAGATAGACAAACTCTTATCCAAACTAATTAAAATGTAGAGAGAGAATATCCAAATTGACAAAATCAAAAATGAAAAGTGGGACATAACAACAGACAACTAGGAAGCCCAAAGAATCATAAGAATCATAAGGAACCCCTGTATTCCACAAAATTGGAAAATCTCAAAGAAATATATAATTTTCTTGATAGGTATCACTTACCAAAGTTGAATCAAGATCAGATAAACAATTTAAATAGACCTTTAGTGAAATAGAAGCTGTCATTAAAAGTCTCCCAACCAAAAAATAACCCATGTGGGATGGTTTTAGCACAGAATTCTATCACACATTCAAAGAAGAGTTAACACCAGTACTTTTCAAATTATTCCACAAAATAAAATTAGAGGGAGTGTTGCTAAGTTTAGTTTATGAGTTCACACAGTTACCCTAACACCAAAACCACATAAAGACTCAACAAAGAAAGAGAATTACATACTAATTCTCTTTATGAACATAGATGCAAAAATACTCAATAAAATACTTGCAAATCAAATCCAAGAACACATTAAAAAGATCATTCACCATGATCAAGTAGTCTTCATTTCTGAGATTCAGGGATGATTCAATATAAAAAGTCTGTAAATGTAAACCACACTATAAACACACTGAATGACAACAAGAACATGACCATCAAATTAGATGCATAAAAGTCCTTTGACAAACTCCAACACCCTTCATGATAAAAGCACTGGAGAAGGTGGAGATACAAGTGACATATCTAAACATCATGAAGGCAATTTACAACAAGCCTATAGCCAACATCAAATTAAATGTAGAGAAACTCATAGCAGTTCCACTAAAATCAAGAACAATACAATGTCATCCACACTCTCCATACCTATTCAATATAGTACTTGAAGTCTTAGCTAGAGAAATAAGACAACAGAAATAGATCAAGGTGATGAAATTAGAAAGGAAGAAGAAAAAAAATTATCATTATTTTCTGATGGGGGATGTCCTTCTTATGCTGTGAATATATGTTTCTCTTATTGGTTGATGAATAAAGCTGTTTTGGCCAATGGATACATAGGATGAAGCCACACAGGAAGTATAGGTGGAGCTATCAGACTAGGAGAATTCTGGGAAGAGGAATGTGGAGAATGAGTCTCAAGGTAGGATGCCCAGGCATATGTTTATAAGTCAAAACAATGTGGAAATACATAGATTAATAGAAATGGGTTAATAATTAAGAGAGAGCTAGCCAATAAGAAGCCTGAGCCATTAGCAAAACAGTTTATCATTAATATAAACCTCTGTGTGTTTATGTGGAACTGAACAGCTGTGGAACTAAGTAGGACAGAAACTTCTGTCTACAAATTTTATAAGATATGACAATATACATAAGTGACCCTAAAAATTTCACCAGGGAACTCCTACAGCTGATAAACACTTTCAGCAAAGTAGCTGGATACAAGATTAACAAAAGATCAATAGCCCTCTATATACAAATGGCAAAGGAGAGAGAAAGGAATCAGGAAAAAAACACCTTTCATAATAGCAATATGTTGTGAAACAACATAAAATATCTTTGGGTAACTCTAACCTAGCAAGTAAAATGTTTGTGTGTTTGTGTGGTAAAAACTTCAAGTCTTTGAAGAAAGATATTGAACAAGATATCAGAAGATGGAAAGATCTTCCACACTCATGGTTCAGTAGGATTAATGTAATAAAAGTGGACATCTTACCTAAAACAATCTACACATTCGATGCCATCCCCACAAAAATTCTAACACAATTCCTAACATATCTTGAAAGGATAATTCTCAACTTCATATGGGAAAAAAGAAAAGACAGCATGGCTAAAACAATCTTGAATAACAAAAGAACTGTAGGAAGTCTCACCATTCCAAACATTTAAGTTGTAGTACAGAGCAATAGTAATAAAAATCTCATGGTATTAGCATAAAAACAGACATGTTGTCAATGGACTCAAACTGAATACCCAGACATAAATCTACACATATATAGACACCTGATTTTTTTTTTATAAAGAAGCCAGAAATCCACACTGGAAAAAGATAGAATTTTCAACAAATGGTTCTGATTAAACTAGTTGTCTGCATGTTGAAGAATGCAAAGATCCATGCTGCACAAAGATCACCCTGCACAAAATTCAAGTCCAAGTATCAAAGACCTCAAGATGAAACCAAATACAATGAACATGATAGAAGTGAAAGCCAGAGGTAGCCTTGAACTCATTGGCACAGAAGACTTTCTGAACAGAATAATGATTTGAACAAGGGAGTACTACTCAGCTGTTTCTAAAAAATGACATCATAAAATTTGCAGTACATGAATGGAAATAGAAAAGATCATCTTAAGTAAGGTATCCCAGATCCAAAAAGCTATATCTTGTGTATATTCACTTATAAATAGATATTAGCCATTAAGTAAATGATAACCAAGCAACAATCCTTAGACCCACAGAGATCAAATATATTTATATGTACTAATGTTATGTTGTTTTTAATTTGTTTTCTGTGTGAACTTCTAAAAATCATAGGCTTGTATTAATATGTGGGGCTGAAAAGATGGTTCAATTGTTAAGAGCACTAGCTGCTCTTCCAGAGGACCCAAGTTTGATTTCCAACAACCTCATTGTTCCTCATAATATCTGTAATTCCAGAATCTGATGTCATCTAATGTCATTCTGTGGGCACTACATGAATACACATGCATGCAGTCATGTTCATATTCATAAAATAAACATAAACATTATTTTTAAAATATTCTTGCAGATTTGTTTAAAATGTCAAATCATTTCATTTTCCTAGGACACTACAAACAACTATGCATGTCAAAAAAGCCTATTCATTTCCTGGAACTGACCCAGGTTATTTGCTAATTTGTTCTGCACCAGGCTATGCTACTAAAACTCGTGTCAGTGTGGAGAAACAAGAGCAGAGGAATATGCCTAATACATGCTCCGATAACCATAAAAGTAAAAGCTTATGCTAGTAAATTACACATTTCCATCATCAATTTCAAGGTAAAACACTACGAAAAGACCAAAAAAATAATTGGTAGGATTTTGACAATTATACTATGTCCACAATTGTCTTCTCATCTCTTTGAGTGAATATGCAGGTAATAACCCTACAAATAAATAACTCAAAATTATATCAGAAAATGAAGATAGAAATTAATTAAAAATAAATTATAGGACTCCAGAAATTTTATTAACTAGAAAAAAATACATATACTTGGGGCCATGAGGAAGGCTCAGTTGTAAAGAGTTCTTAATGCTGTTACAGAAGACATGGATTACATTCTCAGAACCTACATGGTAGATGCTGAGTGCCTGTAACTCTACTTCTAACACCTCTTCTGTTCACCACACACTCCTGTAGGCATATGGTAAACTTATCCTCAGGAAGGCTCAGGCACAAAAATAAAAATTTTAAATAAATGTATGAATAGTTTAAATAGAAATATATGAAAGAAAAAGTACTAAGAATCTTTATCCTCTGGTAAGAACACAGTCTTAATTTTCTGTAAGCAATGGACATGAGATCCTCATAAAAACATATTAAATCAGAGGATGTCTCATTTCCTCCTGGGTCACACAGAATTATATTGCATGGAGGAAAGAGAAAAGAGGTGTTATAGTATAAATTCCATCAATGCTAATGAAGGGCAATGATAAACAAAATAATAGAATACAGGTAATGTAAAGTCAAGAAAGAAAAAGACACATCAAGCTCAGAGGGATGGGGCTAAATGAATCATCAAGGATTGAATCAGCTTGTGAGTCTCTGCCAGGTTCTCTTCACAGCAAGCTTGACATCTTTGTTTCTGAGGCTGTAAATAAGAGGATTCAACATGGGGACCAATAAGGTATAAAACACTGAGAAAAATTTTCCCTGGCCAACAGTCTCAGCAGATGATGGTTTGACATAAGCAAGTAGCCCAGATCCATAGAAGAGACTAACAGTTATGATGTGAGATCCACAAGTGCCCAGGGCTTTGGACCAAGCCTTACCTGATGACATATGAATGATATTGAAAAGGATCATAGCATATGAGATAAAGATAATGAGGCAGCATACAATGATAGCTGTACCCAC